CAGCAGGATCATGTGCCAATATTTTGGACAATGACCATTAGAAATAATTCATAAACAGTTAACTCAACCTATAATTTACAAATGACAACATGCTTGAATTTAGAGAAGGAAAGCCACATCCAACTCCAAAACCAGCATTGGTTTACACAAACTGGGACTAATAGAGAGAAATAGATTCCTGTAGAGAAATAGTTTACTAGAATTAAATATTTTTACCTTAAATTAGATTCCTCTTCGTTAAATGGTTCTTTCTGGAAAGCTATCTTCTCTTCTGTGGGCACCTACATGTTCAGTGTCTTTTGGCTGTTTGAAGATGGGTGTTTTCTGTTTTCCTGTAAAGAACACTTCCCCTACTTTTGAGAGGTCTCTGCACAAGTCATGGGAAATACTTTGGTGGATGACTTGTCATTTCTCTTCATTAAGATGTTTCTCTTATTCAACTTGGATCTTGATCAACTTAGATGGTATCCACAGCTTTCCTTCTCCTGTAGATACAAAGGTGAAATCCCTACCCCAATGTAGCACATATTCTGGTTTCCATCCTGAGGTCGATACATCCTTGAAGTACATCGGCTGGTTTAGTTCGGAAGATTTTTCTATTGTCCAGTGTCTTTCTGCAGCTGTTTTTCCTTTCTCAGTAGCATTAATAAAGTTTAATGTTAATAAAACATTATGTAATCTGTGTTTGGGTGTCTTGGTTCCTCCTGCCTGTTTATAGAACATTTTTTTAAAAAGTGCAATCGGATCTCTCAACTACTGCTTGTCCTGTAGGATTGTGTGGTATACCGGTTATGTGCTTTATGTTATAATGCTCAAAAAACTGTTTCAATTTACTGGAGACATATGCCAGAGCATTGTTGGTTTTTATTTGTGCAGGTATGCCCATAATGACCATTACCTCTAATAGGTGTGTGATAAAAGAATCAGCCTTTTCAGAGCTCAGAGCAGTGACCCATTGAAACCCTGAAAATGTATCTATAGTGTGATGCACATATTTTAATTTCCCAAATTCTGTAAAATGAAACACACCCATTTGCCATATTTCATTCTTATTTATGCCCTTTCAGGTTACTGCCTGGTGGTAAAGGAGTTTGGTTATAGAATGAGCAAGTAGGACATTTCCTTACTACTTTCTTAGTTTGTTGCTCAGTGATAGAAAAATCCTTTTGTAAACCTTTGCTGTTCACGTGGTGTTTCTTATGAAACTTCTAGGCTTGTAGTACACTTCCTATTAATAACTGATCACTTTTATAATTGCCTTGTGCTAGAGGACCTGGCAGACCCATATGGGATCTGATGTGTGTTTTATATATATAGGATGAGTCCTATTTCTGATAGTATCTTGCACCTGTATAAACAGTGAAGTTAATTCTGTATTATCAGGAATAAATTCTGCAGTCTCAATGTATAAGATGACTCTCTCTGTGTATTGTTTGCATCAGTGTAGAATGTAGGAACTCCAGAGATAGGTGTTTTTAAAGCATTCTGTGTTTTGCATTCTGTTTTTCAGCTCTCTATTGTCATTTTCAATATTCTGAATCCTTGTTACTAAGTCCCCTATGGTTTGTACAAGTTCCTTATTTTTGCTTTAATCTCAAACCATTTCTTTAAGAATATATTAATCATGAAACCTCTTGCTATTACAAAGAACATGTGTATACTGGTTAAGTCATGATTTTTTTCTGCTAAAATTCCATCTATACATGAAATGAAAGGATTCCTAACATCCTGCATCGTAAGATTATCCGACATAGGTATGGAACAATTGATCTCAGATATTATATCAGCTTACATTGGGAAAGATGTTGCAATTACCTTATCAGGATCCTGTTGTCCTGGAACAGATGGAAGAATTCCAATATCATCAGTGAGTCTGAACTGACTAGTGCAGGGTCCTGTTTGGTTGCAGATCTCAACCTGCAGTAATTACACCTGGCCAATAGGTGGCAGAGGTGTATCACCAAATGGTGTCCGGTAGCTGGATACCTCCGCCCTTGGTCCCTGTAAGGTCTTAGCCAGCTAAAAAAAATGTTAGGTGGAAGAGTAAAATCAAGCTTTCTGCAGATTGCTAGAATTAGAAGCAGAGACAGCTCTGCGTGCAGTCTCAGCGCAACCTGAGAGGACGGGAGAGGGACTGTTGTGGAGTAACTGACGCCAAACCACAGCGCAAACTCATGGCGGCAGCTGCAGCAGCGGTAGCGCAGTTATCTGCACAGCCAGAGTCACTTGGGGAAGGCTGAAGTCTCCCGGAGTGCGGCATAGTGCCCACAGCATAGTGCCCACAGTGGCTTCGGGAGGTGGTGGCCCAGAGCGCTGCGCAAGGCAACTCGGCGGCCTCAGAGGGCCAGGGAGTGGAAGGAAACTGGGACTCGCGGCAGCTGTGGTCCTCAGGTTTGCACAGACGCCTGTGAGCACTTAGAAGCAGCAACGAGGCCGTGTGCCACCTCCTGGGTGAGACCTGATTCCCCAGATCCGTGGAAATCTATATCCCACGTCTAACACCAGAAATCGTGGATTAATAAGGACGGGGGAAACAGGCTGAATAGGTGTTTATTCAGAGAGAAATGATTTACAAGAGACAGATGAACACCAGCAGGTTCCTGATCCCAATGCCTCCGGATGCTCTCTGTCTCTGTCCAGCAAGCAAGAGGGCACTCCGTGGCTCCTTCCCCAGACCTAGCTCCCCCAGGTCACTGTCCACCCCCGTCCCCGCTCCAATGGGCGTGGTCAGTGCCACAGGTGCAGACAGCACGGGTATCTCACTACAGGTGCATACCTTTAATCCCAAGTGATCAGTGAAATTTTGAGGTCAGCCTGGTCTACATAGCAAGTTTCAGCAAAGCCAGAGCTTTCATAGAGACTCTATTTTTAAAAGCGAACAAAAATTATTATCCATCTTACAACAAGAAGAAGAACTAGATAACCCTGAAAAAGCAAAGTTGGAAAACATCACTTATGGGAATGAGTACAAGAACAGATCACACGATAAGACAAGAAGCCAGAGGCCAGGAAGGGACCAGTATTGCTCTTTAATATAACATTCAAGATCCCACTGTTGTCTCCGGACTCTGGACCTCCAAAGCCACCAAGAGACCCGATCTGATGCAGAAGCAAAGACTCTTTTTAACTTACAAGTTAACACAAGTTAACTCGGGTCTTCCGGTCCAACACAGGGATGGATGGAGTAGCAGGGACCCCAAGCAGGAGTGGGGCAGGGCATATACTGGGGCGGAGCAAGGGAAGTGTCTGGGGGCCCGATAGTTGCATAGCAACAGTCTCAGGATTGGAGCATCTGTCCTGCTTGATTGGTCAGCTGAAGCTGCAGAAAGGTTGCTGTACTTAGAGGTCCACCCAGGGCAGTTGCTATGCCCTTCATTCTACTGTTATCCCACCAGCTAACTTCCGCTTGGTTCCTTGCCACATGGAGGGTATCTGGAGGTTCATTCCCAGTAATTAGGGCAGCACCGGGCAAGGCTGGGGGCTCAGCACACATGGCTGAGTCAGGGGCCTACATCTTGCTGGGTCTTTTCTGCAGCCTGTCGTGACTGGGTGAGGGCCTGGGCCCCTCACTCTCAAGACCTACATTAACTCCTGCAGAGGCACGCACAAACACACGGTACTTTCCTCCCACCGTCCATTCTGCTTTTTATGATTTGTCACAAAACAATCAATCATGGCTGAAAATATTAAATGGAGAATTCCAGAAGGAAGGAATTCTTAAGTGTTAACCGCATACCGCTTGTTGAAGTCTTACCCCTCCCCAGTCTGTTCCAGCCCAGATGTGAGGCATCCCAGCTGTGCTATTAGCACATTTCACTTCGAGAAAGGGAAGGGAGCACAAAACAAAACGCGTCTAAATGACCATTATTACGTCAGAGTAAGGAAATGTTCAAACTATGAGAAACACACAGCCAGGACATTAGGGAAACCCTTCCTGAGAGCCGAGGAACTATGTAACAAAGGCAGAAAAATCGCCCTTTTACAGCCATCATCAGAGCACTAGACTGCTCGGGTCAATTAGTATTGGATGTTAAAACCAGCGGATGCAAACTTGAACTACACACGTGCAGTTTGTAGAGCATGTCTCCCCACAGGGAACTGATTAAAAGTGAGGAGATGTAATTTAGAAGAGAAAAAAACATCCCAACGGCACCTTCTCCATCAAGGCACCCAGGTGGACAAGCTTTACCACGAACATTATCACTCATGCCGTACAAGTAGTTTAAAAAATACATTTATGTGGAAATGCCTGACGAATCCAAACAGAGATATTCTACAAATCAACTTAAAAAACGTGGAGGTCATTGAAAACGGTAAACAAAGGAGGGCGTGTTAGGGGAGTTCCTGCAGAGCCTCTGCAGCTGGTTTGATCCCTGAGTGTTAGCACCTGGCTTTGATCTTGCATTTGTGGCTGCTTTTTGTCTCACATACTTCTGTTTGAAGTGCGTGAATCCTATCTGAGAGTTTTCTATAGGTTCAAAGCCTACACAAAATGTGGTTGCAGGAGTGCTTTGCAAACTGAGGCGTCTCTTAACTGAAAATTTGCATTGGCTTCGTCTCTTTGGGGAGCTTAGATGTGAAAATATTGTTGGTTTTCATTACTCTTTACCTCTTTCTGGGGGGCCATCATGCAGCTCCTAAATAAACCACACATGTGAGGCGGTGTGGCTTGATTCTTGACAGCCTTTCTCCACTGGATTATCCTGACTACCTTTGCCTCTGGGCTTTTAGCTCTCTCTTGATTTTTTTTTTTTTTTTTTTTTTTTTTTTTTTTTTTGCATTTCATTTTCACTCTGGCTCAGTAGCTGGGTCCTGATGTTCTCCTCTCTTTGTTCTCTCCCTCTCCCCCTCCCTCTCCCCCTTCCCCTCCCCTTTACCCTCTTTGGGCACCAGCCCCGCCTGTCCTTTTTGCTGCCGTTCAGCTCTTTATTAGACCATCGGGTGTTTTAGACAGGGAATCCCAGCTCCACAGAGTTAAACACGTACAGCATAAATAAAAGCGATACATCTTTAATACAAATGTTCCACAGAGCTAAACAAGTGTTCCACAGTACAGACAAAAGCAACGCACCTTAAAATAATACTCTACAATATCAAAGCGGCAGTGAGTGAGTCAGTCATAGGCTGATCCCCCTACAGCTGGAAAGGCTAAAAAAATCACCCTTAGAGTGCCTCTCCGTCTTCTTTCCACCGACCTGTGTGAACCCATACCTGCTAGATACAACAGGGAGGTTCAGAACAAAGACACCCAGCGAGGCTGCTCAAAGTTGGGACACACTACATTGTACCAGCCGGGCCGATTGGTGACATATTTTTAAATGAGCTCTTTCCATTGTATAGTGCTGTACATCAATAACAGGCTTGGTTGAATATTATAATTACAGCTGCTTAAGGGAAACACACTTAAGTATTCGACATAAGAGAAAAGACGCCTGAAAAGTTGTGTACGTAGGTGTCAGTATTTTGAGTGTGCACAAATTCATGTATCTGGAGAGGATGACGACTCGATAATTTAACAACTGTTGAATCTGGGTTAACGGTATAAAATTCTACATAATTTTATAGGTTTTCTAAAACCTAGGTTTCTAAAAAGTTTAATGTACACACATGATTAAAATCTCACTAGAGGCAACTATGCCTTCACATCTGTATCTTTTAAAAATGATTCACCTTTAAATTGAGCATGCACACGTCTGTGCCTGTGAGCCACTAGATGTGGGTGCAGGTAACAAACTCTGAAAGAAGAGCACACACACACCACTGAGCACCTCTCCAGCCCCACATCTGTAGTTTGCGTGTGTAGTGTATGCTGTGTTTCTCATACATGAACAGGTATGTATGTCCATGTGCGTGTCTCTGGAGGCTGGAGGATGATTTAGGTGTCTTCTTCCTCTGTCACACTGCCCCTGCTGCCTAGAGACGTGGTCTGGCAGGAAGTCCCAATAACCCTCCTGTCTCCACTTCCCACAACACTAGGATTATGGACCTGCACGGCCAAACCCAGCTTTTTACATGGGCACTGGGGATTCAAACTTGTCGGATTCCCACGTGTGTCCGGCAAGCTCTTTTACCCACGGAAACATCTTTTCCAGCCCCATTTTCTTCTCTGAAAACACACATCTAACTTTCACAGTTTTCCAGGGTAACACATTTTGAGCAACTTGCAGTGGTCATAGCTAATGCTGCCTTTTCTCTCTCGATGGTTGCACCACTGGGCCGCAAAGCAGCAAGTTCCAACTATGAAACCCACTGTAAAGCCAACCCGTGATACAATGGACAGCTCCTTACATACAGTTCCAGCCGGCATCAATTTACCTTTGGTGGTCAGAGATGCATTGTGGGCACCGCCTATTTCACTGCATGAAAAGAAAAACAAACAAACAAACAAACAAAAAACCCACAGGGTAAGTCCACGGCTACAGGAAGTGTTTAGTCCGGAGTTTTACTTTCCACACCTTTAGGCTTTAGTAAAATAATGCCCACTGTAAAGTAAGTATAGAGAGCTAAGTCAGCATTGGGCAAGTATCAGTTTACCTGGTGCCATTTCTTTTGGCACAGTCCACTGAAAGACGGTTGCTGGCCGGATGGGCCGGGGCTGGTGAGATGGCTCAGCGTGGAAAGGCGATTGCCGCCGCCTGTCTTTCTTCCTGAAGGACGAGTCCTAGGTGTTACCACTCCGGTGTATTATAGTTTTAAGGAATGCTAGGTCTCGAGTCTGTAGAAGTCTGTTCCTGCTTGTAATGGTCTTTTAGAGATGAGCTCTGGGATGCACTCCTGGGAAACTCGAAGACGGACAATTCCACAAAACAAAAAGTATGCTTTGGAGCCGAGGCTGGCCACAAACCTGTCATCCTCCCGCCGGGGCCTGCCTCCCAAAGGCTGGCTTCACAGTCACGCGTCACCGCCCCCACTCTGCTGCTCGCTCTGGGTGTGGGTTTTCTTATGGGTTCGGAGGCGGGAACGGTAGTCGAAGCCTTTCCCACACACGCCGCATTTGTGCGGCTTTTCTCCAGTGTGGACACTCTGGTGTATTTGAAGACTCGAGTTCTGCTTGAAGCCCTTCCCACAAATGTCACACTTGAAGAGCTTCTCCCTGTCATGGATACTGAGGTGGAGCCGGAGCTTTGAGGGGAAGCAGAAGCTCTTCCCGCACTCCTCACATTTGTGAGGCTTCTCTCCCGTGTGCATCCTCTGGTGGTCCTGGAGTTCCGTGCCGCTGTCAAAGCACTTCCCGCACGCCTGACATCTGTGAGCTTTGTCGCCAGTGTGGCTTCGCCGGTGGTAGGTAAACTGAGAGCTGTATATGAAGCCCTTACCACACACCTCGCACTTGTACGGCGTCTTCCCGGCGTGGACCCTGTGGTGGTAATGGAGGGCGGAGGACCGGCTGAAGCCCTTCCCACACGTCTCACACCGGTACGGCTTTTCTCCGGTGTGAAGCCTCTGGTGGGCTTGAAGGCGCGAGCGCTGGCTGAAGCTCTTCCCACACTCCTCACACTTAAAGAGCTTCTCCTGGACGTGAACACTCAGGTGGACTCGCAGGTTGGACGGGAGGCTGAAGGCCTTCCCACACTCCTTACACTTGTGAGGCTTCTCGCCCGTGTGCATCCGGCGGTGGTGGCGCAGGTCCATGCTCCTGCCGAAGCCCTTCCCGCACTCGGGACACCGGTACGGCTTCTCCCCGGTGTGGCCCCTCTGGTGGTAGATAAACTGAGAGCTGTACCTGAACGTCTTCCCGCACTCGGGACACCGGTACGGCTTCTCCCCGGTGTGGACTCGGTGATGGCAATGGAGGCCAAAGGGCCGGCTGAAGCCCTTCCCGCACACCTCACATTTGTGCGGCTTCTCCCCGGCGTGAGCCCGCTGATGAGCCCGGTATTCGCCGGGCTGGCTAAAGCTCTGGCCACACCCTTTACACGTGTAGCGCTTCTTTTCCGAGAGCACTCTCTGGTGAAGATCTGCCTTCCAGCTGAAGCCTTGCCCATCCTGCGGACCTTTCGATGGTTTCTCCTTGGCGTGTGTTAAGAGGTGTCGATTAATATTGGAAACGTAACGGAAGACCTTCCCACACTCTTCACACCTGTATGGTTTCTCTCCGGTGTGGACCCGATGGTGGACGCGAAGCTTCGAGGGCTCACTGTAGCCCTTCCCACACGTCTCGCACACGTAGGGTTTCTCTCCCTTGCGGCGGCGTCTGTGGTGAATGTTGAGGCCGCCGCCGCCGCATCTCTGCCCACAACCATCATGTCCGCAGGGCTTTCCATCTGTGCAACTGGCCTGATGCGGACCTACGGGGCTCTTGTTGAAGTGATCGCTAGACGGGTGGCGTTTGTCCACTTCCTCGCCTGGGTGTGAGCGCTGATTGGCGCTGCTCGCTGATGCGCAGACAGTCTGATGAGTAGGCGGCCCCGGGCCACGCTCACTCTGCACAAAGGGTTCCCCTCCTAAGGGCAGTTCCGGGGCAACGCCGGCCTTAGTTGGTCTGTCACATTCTTCACCTCTGCAGGCTTTCTGTTCCTTGCTGGTCCTAAGCGGCTCACAAGGCGATGGCTTCCTCGTCACATCTTCCAGCACACACAGGTCACGTTTCCCACAGACAGGCTCGTTTCCGCTCCGGTCCTGGGAATCATGCAGGGACCCATTTTGGCAAGGATCCCGAGTTCCTGAGGTGGAAAAGTTTTCCTGTTCAAGGCAGCTGGAGCGACCTCCTTTGTGGCTCTTTGCACTGCCCCGATTGTCAGATGCCAGAATGGAATCACCTTGCCGTGGTTGACAAGGCCTCCTCTCAAGACACCTGGTCGACTTCCGTGCAACCTGTCTCCAGATGTGCCAGCAAGACAGCTCTCCCTGGGCAAGGCGTTTTAGTGCAGTTCTCCCAAGAGTCGCCGTGTGGCGTCGATTCCTGCTGCCTGTAAGAGAGCAGTCGTGAGGGATGAAGACAGGTTACGGGAGGACTCCGTTCTAAGGGCATGCGTGGGAGGGAATCAAGCCAGAGCAAGCCAGAGACCTTGCGACATCGCTTGTCATTTCCCCACGTTTCCATGGAGGTGGGCGCAAGGGCGGGATCAACAGGCTCCTGACTCCCGAGTGTTTTGGTGTGACCCATTTACAGAACTATGTCCTGTGTGGAACGTGAGCGCCACGAGGGCTGGAGAGATGGATGGCCCAGTGGTTGAAAGCAAAAGCACTTGCTGATCTTCCAGAGGACCTGAGTTTGGATTCCGGTACCCACATTAAGGGACTTACAACTTCGGGTAACTCGGGCTGCAGGGACTCGAACCCCACGGGCACCATATACACGTGGCATATAAACACAAACATTTTTTTTAAAAAACGAAAAAAACCAAACCACGAGCGCTATGGGCACAGAGACTTCGAGCGTCCGTGCTCTAATACAACGACCTCAATTAAAAGCACGCCCCCCCTTTCTCCTTCGTACTTATGCAAACGGGTTCTATCAGACTTTGTTAGGACAGTGGGCAGGGGTGACAACAGGGACACACTGCGGAGCGGACCTGAGAGGCTGGTGGCAAGCGCTCCGCCAGGGTACCTACCTCTCTGGGCTTCTGTTTCCTTCAGCCAAAGCCGTTCTTCTGCTTCCAGTAGGGACAGCATATCTGCTCTGGGGGGAAGGCACCCTAAGGGAAGTCAAGACACATACATTTAAGTTGAACACAAAATTAAAGCACACTTGTGGCACAATGCTCAGCGCCTGTGAAGTTACTTTGGAAATGTTTATGATCGTATATTGTGCTGAGAAAAGTCAAGGGCTGGGCAGACAGCTCGGAGGCTGAGACTGGGTCCCCGCACCCACGGGGGCAGGCCGGGCACACTCTCCTGATGGCACAGGTTTGGGAGGGGCCGTGACTCGAAGAAATGAGGCGGAGACTGACAAAGGAGGGTGCCTGATGAGCTCCATGTGCACACACAGGCACCTCCACACACAAAGGTTTGAAAGAAACTTCAAAAGGAAGTTAAAATAAAGCAAGGCCACGACTGTGTATGTAAGGCAGAATCTGTTTCATCCTCTTTTAACCTTCTCTCACATGGAAACCATCAGGCTCCGCTACAGCAGGTCCTCCGCAACAGATTCTGACATCCTATCCTCATTTATTCTATTGCAAAGAAAATACTATGCCAGGGGGGTGGCGGAGGCGCACGCCTTTAATCCCGGCACTCAGGAGGCAGAGGCGGGTGGATCTCTGAGTTTGAGGCCAACATGGTCTACAGAGTTCCAGGGCAGCTAGGACTAGAAAGAGAAATCTTGTCTGTAAAGAAAAAAGAAAATACTACTATACTGAACCATGTTTGTTTACCTATTAGTGGATCACAGACATAAATAGAAAGACAAAGTACATGGCTGGGCCATGACTCTGTGGTAGAGCCCCTGCCTAGAATCCCCCAGTGAGGGGCTGGGGATGTCAATCAGTGGTACTGCACTTGCCTAGAATCCACCAGAAGGCTGGGAGTGTGGCTCAGCAACAGACTCCTGCCTAGCATGAACAAGGCCCTAGATTCTAGTCTCAACAAAATCCAAAGTACTGAAGTTAAGCTCATTTGTGGCTCATATAAAACAGGGTTTCTTCCTGGCAGCAAACGGACGGGCACTCTGGATGGTAGACCATCCTGCTGCGGGAGCTGACTTGTCTCTGGCAGCTAACGATTAAATGTCAGTGGCACCCATCCCTGAATTGTGAGCGGTATATGTGGAATATTCCTTCTGTACACTGTGAATATGTGCTACTCTTATTGGTTAATAGAGAAGGTGCTTGGCCTATAGCAAGGCAGGATAAAGTTAGGCGGCACAATCAGGCAGAGGATACTGGGATGAGGGAGGGCAGAATTGGGGAGAAGCCAGCCAGCTGTGGAGGAAGCTGGACTATAGAAAACGAGATAGCAAGCCATGGCTGCGTGGTGAAGCATAGATAAGAAATATGGGTTAATTTAAATGTAAGAGCAGTAAAAGCCTGAGCTATCGGCCAAGCGTTTATAAATAATATTAACCCCCTGTGTGGTAATTTGGAAGAGGCTCCCGGAACAGGAAAACTCCACATATGCATTGCCAAATGCCCCCCAACAGAAAGATCATCCCTAGCTGAGAATCAGTGGTTTAAAAAGATTTTCGCTGAGCAGAAACGCCAGAAAAATCCCTCTTGTCCCCGGGAATCCCTTCAAATGGTCCAGAGCCTTGAGCATCTGAGGACAGGGAGTCTCTGGGAGGCTGAGGTTTGGGGTCACAGGACGCCCGTCCTCACCCACGGCAACCAGGTTCTTGAAGACCTCCACCATCACGTCTTGGTACAGCCTCCTCTGTGTGAGGTCCAGCAACCCCTGCTCTTCTGCAGTAAACACCAGCGCCACATCCCTGAATGTCACCGCCTCCTGTGACACCAAACACAAGAAACTTCAATCCGGGTCCCACGGAAAAGGAATAGCGGTGTGAACAGGGCCACACGGGGTCACAGACTCAGGGGTCCGGGCAGACTGAGCCAGTAGCTGTTGTGCATTCACACAAGCTTCCTAACAACACCCTAAACTCTGACTATACTCCGCTCCCCGATCCTCCCTCCCTCTCTGTCTCTCTGTGTTTCCTTTCTTGAGGGTGAGGTAAGAAAGGGTCTCCTACAGCCCAGGTTGTACTCTAAGGCAGAATCACAGAAGATAACCTTGAACCTCTGCTCCTCCTGGCTTTCCTCCCACGGTGCTCGAATTCTGGCCATGCATGCCAAGCCTGGCTTTTAATTTGCTCATGTTTATACTGGTTTATACAGTGCCAGAGATCAAGGTCAGGGCTACAGGGATACTAAGCAAATGCTCTACCCAGCTCCAGCTCCACCGATGGCTACGTCATAGCCAAAGTAACAGGTTATTTTTGTCAGCAATTTTGTTATTCAGTAACAAATGATAACACACACACACACACACACACACACACAGAGTGTACCTAACTCATACTTGATCTGTTATTTTCTACCAATACTCCACCCTCCCCAAAAAAGACAAACTGGCATACAAAATTACTGAGAAATGCCTGACCTGAAACTGAGCCATCTTCTCTTGTTTCTTTGGAGGAAGGTCACTGTCCTGAGAAGGCACAACTAAAGAAAGATGAAGAAACCTTAAGACAAAAGTCGGAACTGCCATTGGCCCAGGTGAAACACTGACCCCCTACTTCCGGACACACGCCACCACATAGCTCAGAAGTCAGAAGCACACATCGGATTTCAGCGACTAGCAGACCTCTTAGCTCATCTGGGTAGCGGACAGCCTGTGCAACCTGTACAACCAGCTTCAGCACTCCTACCACAGAGTTTCAGATTCTGGAAATGGCGGGACATGAGAGCCAGTAAAACAACACACAGGCAATGAATGCATGGATGGATGATAGGAAGGAAATGGGGGGAAAGTAGGATCCGAATGCCTGGCTCAGTTCAATCATTGTGTGCTGATACTTTGTTTGGCTCTAACAAACAAAGCTTGCCCGGACACCAGAGCCAGCCGCTAGTTAACCATAGAGGCCAGGCGGTGGTGGCACACACCTTCAATCCCAGCACTTGGGATCTCAGGAGAGATGCCTCGAACGTTAAGGAGCACTTGCAGGTCTTCCAGAAGAGTTAGGCTGGCAGCACCCATGCTAGCCCCACAACCGCCTGGACCCCGTGCTCCGCGGACCCCTACCAGCCTCCCCTGGGACAAGCACACGTCCTCTCTCTCTCTCTCTCTCTCTCTCTCTCTCTCTCTCTCTCTCTCTCTCTCTCTCTCTCCCTCCCTCTCTCTCTCTCTCTCCCCCGACTCCCCCACCATACACAAATAAACACGCGCTAATAAATAAATATTTAAAATGCGATCATGTTTCCGGTGGCCGATTTTCGGGGTCTAGGGATGCCGATGAATTGAAGGGGCACCCCGACGAGAAAGCGTCGTGGGCGCGGTACCTGGGGCGGCGACAAGTGTGACGAGTGCCTCCTTCCTGCGGTTGCTTGGAGAAAGGATGCGTTAGGGAAAGGATGCGGGGAGAGCGGCGGAAAGGGCCCGGCACTGTCCTGCAGCCAGGGAGAAGAAGGCCGAGGACAGGGCTGGGCCCACGGCAGAAGGCAGCTGCTTATTCCGTCGCCGCCTTTAAATTCTAACTGCACTGCAAGCCAGCTACTGCCAACCTCCGACTAACTACACCAAGGGAGAAAACTGGAGCGGCTAAGAGACGGGGTGGGAAACGAAATCCCGGGCTCCCGCTTCCCGTCTCCTCACTTCCGGTCTCCGGGAGCCGCCGTCCCGCAAGCTAAAAAGATTTGGAAGCAGCCCAGGAGGATGCGAGGTGGGCTCGATTCCCCTGAGCCCGAAGAGGATGGCGACCTTGCTCTCTTAGCTCCTGAACTACATTTCCCAGAAAGCATCGGGAGGACCTTCCCAGAATTCCCCCACTGCAATTTCCAGAAGCCCCATTCAGCTTCCGGTCACTTTCAAAGGAAGTCCGTGGATGTTAATCTTCCCCTGAAATATTACGTAGTTTATATATATATATTTTTGGGGTCACTGGGACGAAATACCGGACAGAAATAACTTTAGGAAATTTTTTTTGGCCCAGTTTTAAAGGGATATCACATCACTACGGTCTGTGAATAACTTTCACATCTGGTGAAAGCAGAGAAGGACGGCTAGCACCAGAAGCGAAGGTCTGCACTCGAGGCCCCATTTCCAAAGTTTCAGTAACTGGGGGCCAATTGTTCAATACATGAGTCTGGAGTCACTGCCCATCTAGTCCGTAGTGTGACAAAGAATCCACGCACTGTGCGGGAGCATCTCGCTGCTGCCGGGTTAACAAAACTCACCGTCAGAAAGGATAGTCTGTAACGCATAATGCAAACGAAACAGGAGACAGTCCCAGAAGACAGGAAGCACCCAGGGAAGGGTGGGGGGAAGGACAGATACCATAGGACAGTATCAAGTCGATGGTGCAGGTGACCGTATTGAGTGGCTTTCTCTTTTGTCTGCACTGGGGATTGAACCCAGGACCTGTATTCCAACACTGTATTTTGGCTATTCCCTAGTTTTAAAGGCTGTTAGGGTTCCCGTTCCAAACACAAACTTACTTCTCAACAGTTTCAAAAGTACAGCCCCCCACTTGCTGGAAAATATCGAGTATCTTTCCAGCACAGCAGGAATTTTCATCTATTAACCCCCAAAGCCCTGGTAAATCACCCTTCTTCAAGTTCTTGTGACACTTGAAAATGGCCGGGGTTGAACCAAAGCCTTCTAGGATAATTAAGACTGTGCGGAAACACTAACCCGAATGAAATAATTGTATTTCCTCTTGAAAAAACGATTAAAAGAATCCACACAACAGCCTGGTGAGATGATTCAATGGGCAAAAGTGTTTGCCACCAAGCCGGACAGCCTGAGTTTCATCCCTGCTCTCCACACGTACTCTATGGCATGCACTGGCATGTGTGTGTGTGTGTGTGTCCCCAAACACACTAAATTGTTTTTGAGATTGCTTTACTTTATGTGTATGAACTCTTTGCCTACATGCATCTATGTGTGCCATATGTTGGATCTTCTGGAGCCAAGGTTAAACATGGTTGTGGGCTGGCTGGAGAGACGGCTCAGCGGTAAAAGCACTGGCTGCTCTTCCAGAGGTCTTGAATTCCTAGCAACCACATGTTGGCTCACAACCACCTGTAATGAGATCTGATGCCATCTTCTGGCCTGCAGGGATGCATGCAGACAGAACACTGTACACATAATAAATAATTCTTAAAAAAAAAAATGGTTGTGAACCACCATATGGGTTCCTGGAATTGGATCCTTTGCAAGAGCGACAAGGGCTCCTCACTCATTACTGAGCCGTCTCTGAAGCTCACACACTACACTGTTTTAAAATGTAACCCAAGGGAAATAAGAATGCACGGGACGCACGTCTTTTAAAACGTTATTTTATAGAACGTTTTTCCTGAACAGATTCCTTGATGTTTTTGCCGTCTCTTGTGCTCTTAGAAGCCCTACCGCTGCTGTGGATTCTGTGATGAATCAGAAGGTTTGACCGCCAACCAAAGCTCTTACCACAGACCTCACACTTGTAAGGTTTCTCCCCTGTGTGCACCCTCTGATGAGACTGTAGTTGTGAAGAGCGGCTGAAGACCTTCCCACACGCATCACATTTGTACGGCTTCTCCCCAGTGTGGACTCGAAGGTGGACTTGGAGGTTTGAATTCAGGGTATAGCCTTTACCGCACACAGTACACACGTAGGATTTCTCTCCGGTGTGTATGCCCTGATGGGCCTGGAGACTCGAAGGGCGACTGAATTCTTTCCCACAGTCCACACACTTGTACGGTTTTTCCCCCGTGTGGACTCTCTGGTGGATGTAAAGATTTGAGCTACAAATGAAGCTCTTCCCACACTCCTCGCATTTGTACGGCTTCTCTCCCGTGTGCACCCTCTGATGGGACCGAAGGTGTGAATTCCGACTGAAGCTCTTGCCGCATGCATCACATTTGAACGGTTTCTCCCCGGTGTGGAGTCTCTGATGGTCCTGAAGGTGAGAGGCCTGACTGAAGGCGCTCCCGCACGCCTCGCAAGCGTACGGCCTCTCCCTGGTGTGGACCTTAAAATGCACATTAAGAGCTGATCTGCAGCGGAAGAATTTCCCGCACCGCTCACATTCGTACGGCTTCGCTATCGTATGGTTGTGTGGAAGAGGGTTATGGCTGAGTCCCTGATGCCTTTCTCCCATGTGAGCTCCTTGGCCGACGCAACCATCTGTGTTACAACGGGAGTCTTTCCGACACTCGACACATGCGCAAGACCCCTGTCCCCGGCCTGACAGTTGGCGAGGGGCAAAGCTAGAGAGAACAGTAACGGCTTCTTTATACCTGTCGTTTTTCTGTCCAGTGTGAGTTGTTCTACCCTCATCAAAGGATGCTGCCGCCTTTATGCTCTCTCTCCCATAACCACTGGGACGGGGAGAATCCTTACTTTTGTGTACTCTGTGGTCATTGGGGGAATGTGAAATTCGACTTGCAGAGCCAGCATCCCAGTCACTGCTCATGGAAATGGGTTGGTATCCATTCTTAGGTCGCTGTGGCTCAGTCAGGAAATGTTTCTGCCAAGAACCCTGGCTTCTCAGTGTTGGAAGCGGGAGCCTTCCAGTATCAATGGGAACCTTTGCTTTTTGACTCTGAATATAGTTCTCATCTTCAGAAATGTGAGCAGATAACCGGCGCCTGACCTGGCAGGGGGAATCGCCCTGTAACTGAGTAGAAGCTACCACTGAGTCTTGACACCTGGTTAAGTCGTCCATGACGCGTTGCCAGATTTGCCAGCAGGAAAGGGCTTCATGGGACCTTCCATCTTGGACAGCCCTCAACTCACTCTGATTGTTAATTCCTATAAAGACAGAGAGGTACAGGCAAGTGAAAACTGTTCACTCTTCCAGGTCACACTTAGGTCACAACACTAGCCTTTAATGCAACTCAAGATGATCCTGTAGCTTATCTTTTTTATTATGAATAAAGTTTTCTGGTTTCAATACTGACAGAAACCAATACAGTCTACTGAGTTCCCAACTATTAAGAACCAATAACACCAGGGCTGGAGAGATAGCTCAGCAGTTAAGAACACTGACCACTCTGCTAGAGGACATGGGTTCATTCACAACATCTCACTCACAACGGTCTGTAACTCCAGTCGCAGAGGATCTGACACCCTCTGTCCTCCATGGGCACCAGGCATACATGTGGTACACATAGATACATGCAGACAAAACACCCACACGGATAAATAATTTAGATTTTAAAAGAGAGAACTAATAAAAGCCATTTTAAATCAATTACCGACATGCTCTCTGAAATTTGTTTTCTTTTTAAAATGATGTATCTTCCCTACCGTATGGCAGTGCCAACAGGAACTGTTTATGGTGCTCAGTTTCCCAGCCACTACCCAGAGCCCTGCTGGCATGTGTTCCAGCTAAGTATGTACAGGTGGCTTCTCGGTTCATTCTAAGTCCAAACCCAAGTCACAGAAGCAAAGATCGTTGTAAAGTAAATATACGGAAGAGATCTGGACCAAAGTTCTGTTGAGAAATTGCAAAACCGCATCTTAGATAGGATGGCATCCAGTTAGTGCCGAGAATGGAACCCGAGGGTGAAGGACACACCCAGAGGTATATGGCGAGACCCTGTTCTCAAACAAAAGTCTTCCAACTTGATAAGATGTGCTATACCTGTGAATTAGAAACTGAAATAGCTTGTGGTAAACATTTAGAAGAAACAGGCTACAAACTACCAGAGAACCACCACAATGGTATCACTAAATAGATCTACTGGATATGTGTGTGTATATGTATGTATGTATATGCATATATGCACATACATGCACATATATAAACACGCACACACGAGCGTGCATGCGCGTCGCGCGCGCGCGCGCACACACACACACACACACACACACATTATTTTCCCCATACATTTCTTTGGCTAACAATGGAATGTTAATTTCAATGTGAACTTTGGAAGAGGCTAATGGATGGAATATGTCTGGGCAAACCTGTTAGAGGCAAAGTTCACTATGGCAATTTTCTTAGACTTCTTCTCTGACAAAAGGAATAAGGAGGCAGAATTTGACTTTTCTTATGGTTAAAGCCAAAGAACTAATCCTAAGAATTCTCACAGGAAGCGGCTCCCGGGATGATGACAGAACCTAGAGGTAGAACACTTGTCTGGCACACACAAGACCCAAGGTTTGATGCCGGTGCTGGGGATGAGGATGGTGAAAAGCATATTTAAACGGTACTTCCTACTTAAGTGAATGTGAAGCACTACACCTGCTCTAACCACGCCAGAGAAATCTTGCTTGGGCTGGGTCATCTCCACAGAACTACAGGTTCTTTAAGACATCCATGGGTCAACCTGTACGAACCCACACTCCTGAGAAGTCAGAAGGAGGCGAGGGATCAGTCTGAGGACAAGAGCCACAAGACTGCTGCAAGGACCTAGGAACAAGTTTGGACATTTGTACAGCATGACAGCAGCAACAGGGACGGTGACCAGAGAGTCCCACGGGTGAGTCACGCGATACTAAGTCTCTCTCCTGATGGGAGATGTCATGCTGTAAATACGTTTCTCTTATTCGTTAATGAATAAGGCGCTGTTGGCCAATAGGAAAGCAAGATAGGTGGGACTAGGAGACAAGGAGAGGAGAGGAAGGAGAAGAGGAGGAGATTCAAGAAGGAGGACGGGGAGAGCCGAACGCCGGCCCCTCTCCCCGGTAAGATGATACCACGTGGAACTACTTAGATTGATAGAAAAGGGTTACTATTTAAGACAGAGCTAGCCGATAAGAAATGCTGTTAACAGGCCAACACTCTCCCTCTGGTTGGCGTCTTCATTAGAGGCTTCATTTCCCTTCTGTGTGTGAGTTGTCTCTTTGGAAAATTAATGCTCTGCGAACGTGCACGGATGTAAAAAGGGCACGCTACAGCGAAAACGCACTGCAAACTTCAGTGGCAACTGAATGCTCATCGACACAATGAAAATAGTGTGTTTCAAAACTTACAACAGCCCAGTGAAGAAACCCCATTTATTTTGTGACCCTCTGGCCGCCATAAACGTACTGCAAAAACAAAGTCTGAGTGACTACACTTGCAGTCGAGTCTCTCCATACTGGTTCTACATCTACTCACGCAACTGGCCAGCTCTCCCTACAGCATGTAGTATGTTTCTCTAAGGAAGGCTGGTGTTTCTATTGTTTCATTAGTTGCCAGTGCAGATGCTGCAGAGATGGCCCTTGCTTAAGACCACTTGCTGCTCTTCCAAAGGACCAGTTTGGTTTCCAGCACCCACAACTCCCTAACTCCAGCTCCATGGGACCCAATGCCCTTTTCTAGCCTCTGAGGGTTCCCACACCAAGGTGTCTCTCTCTCACACACACACATAAAAATAAATATCTTTTTAAAAACTCACCAGTATAGAGGCTGAGGGATGGGCTAGCAGTTAAGAGTGGTCGCTGCTCTTCTAGAGAAACCCAAGTTCAGTTCCCAGCACCCACATCCCGTGGCTCACAACTACCTATAACTACTGATGTACTGATGGCTACTTCTAGCCTCACAGGGTACCCACACTCGTGGACACACACACACACACACACACACACACACACACACACACACAAACAAATAAGATGTAATAATTTTTAAGAATAATAAAATGTGGGGCTAGAGAAGTAACTCAGTTGTTAAGAGTACTGGCTGCTTCTCCAGAGGACCCAGGCTTAGTTTTCAACATCCACATGGCGGCTCACAGCCATATGTGACTCCAGTTTCCAGGGAGCTGACACTCTCTGCTGGCCTCCAAAGGCACCACACAACATACTCATATACAAATAAATAAATGGATGAATGAATAAACAAATAAATGAATTAAATGTCCTGAAATATCCTATTCAGAAGAGATAAGAAACATCCTATCTCCACCCATAGGATTAAGCAGAGTCAGAGGACAATTCTGAGCCCCAAAGCTTCCCAACTCCAAGGTCACAAAGGTATGTGTCAGAGAGCATCCGTCCTCACCTACTGAGAGCAGGTTCTTAAAATTCTCCACCATCACCTCTTGGTACAGCTTCCTCTGGGCGGAGTCCAGCAGCTTCAGCTCCTCCTCAGTGAAGGCCACAGCCACATCCTTGAATGTCACTGTCTCCTACGATAAGCACAAATGACCTCAACCTTACAACCAATTGCTGTTAGCAACATTGAAACAGTCCATCCTGGGGGAAGCTTGGAAAGACCCAGGAAGTTCTAAAAGAAGGCTCCTTTAGGTTCTGGAAATAAACAACTCACAAGTCTCAGGAAGTCCCTGAAACTGAGCAGATGCACAAAGTCCCTCTGGTTACAGGATTATATGAACAGTAAGGACTGCTGAGGAGACTTGGCTCAGCAGAGTTTCCCAGGAGGAACTCTTCTACCTACTGAGGTATCTGCAAGTCATACATAAAGTTCCAGGCTGACCTTACTGTGACATATCTCGCTCTTGGAGTGAAAACCAATAAACTCAGATTCAGCAACTTGGACTTGGGTGGTATTGTTCCCTGAGTCTGTCATGGATTCCCTACTTGGGGTATGTGGATATTTGTTTGTGTCTTTCCAGGAAAAGGGTCCAATGTCCACTAAAGGCACAATGGCCCTGGAAAGGCAGGGAGGGGTTAAATTTACAGGGACAAACAGGCATCTCCTAAGGACCTCAAGTGCTTTTATACATCCAATTTTTAAAATTACATTCATTCATTTAGTGTGTGTGTGAGTGTGCATGCGTGTGTGCGTGCATGTGTCTCTGTGTGTGTGTGTGTGAGACACGGGAATGCATGTGACACAGTGCTCACGTGAAAGACAGCAAATGACCCGTGGAGGTCGGTTCTCTGCGTCCACCATGTGGGTCCTGGGAAATCAAACTCAGGTCATCAGGCCTGGAGGTAACCACCTTGACTCCTGCCCCATCTTGTGCCCCTCAAGAGCTTTCAGTCTCCAGCCTGAGGATGACTTCCGTGATCTGATGGCGAAAATGGCAAGCTCTCCTTACCTTGTACGCGCTCATCTTTTTATAGTTCCTTCGGGAAGATGCAGAGCCTAAGAAGGCAGAAATAGGAAAGAGAGAGGTCAGAGGACACGGAGCGGGCGTGCCACTGACTCACGGCTGACCCATGGTCAGAGGAAGGCAATGACATTGTGTATGACATGTCCTCATTCAGGAGCACATCACAGAACACTTCTGACACCAGATATCCTTAATAAGGATCAGGATAAACAAATAGGCCGAATAAATGTTTATTCAGGAAGAAATAACTTACAACCTAGACAGATGAACATCAGCAGGTTCCTGGTCCCAAGGATGCCTCTGGATGCTCTCCTGTCCATGTCCTGCCAGCAAAAGAGCCCTCCTGGGCTCCTCCTCAGACCTAGTTCCCCAGGTCACTTCCGCCCCTGGCTCCACCCCCAATGGGTGTGGTCAGTGTGACAATGTGAATATCTTGCTACAATTCCCCTTTTAGTCTAAAGAAAAGATTTAGGCTTGATACAAAGCTATATACAAAACAGTGAATAACAAGTGTGCTCTAAGAAAAGGAAAATCGAGAACAAACTCACTTAAGACCTACAACATGTCCTCATTCAGGAGCACATCACAAGACAGTGTGCCCAACCACGACATTAGATTTCCTTGTACCAATTTTTTGAAATTTTCTGTAAGTTTTAAATTATAAGAAAAAATTAATAATCAGGAATTGTCATAGTCACAACTGGTAATAATGGTGATGATGAAGCCCATGGAAATACCCTCTAACGCTAATCCCCAGTAGTTGGTAGTCCGTATTCCCATCCCCAGAAGTACTCTAGTACAAGAGTACAGAGCCTACAGGGAATGGCACCATGAATTCTGATTTCATCCTACATTCAACAGCACCTTCTGCTCTTGGGATTTTGTAGTAAGATCTATTGACAAGTATTTATTGTTTAATCCCAGCACTCAGGAGGCAGGGGCAGGTGGATCCTTGCGAGTTCAAGGCCAGCCTGGTCTACAAAGAGCCAGAGAAAGCTTGTCTCTGGGGGAAAAAAATATTGATCAAGAGAAAAAATCATGGGACTGGATAGGATTATAGTATATACCTGGCTCTAGGTCTGAATTTTCAAATGAGACCCTTCCCTGAACTGTTTACATTTTTACCTGTGTAGAGTCAGGGTTAGAAATGTGTCTGCAGGAATTCAGTTTGGTGGGCTGGGCTGGAGCAAGGGCAGGGCTCCCCAGGCGAGGCCAGGGCTGCCAGCTCCCGGTGAGTTTCTGAACCGATGCAGGGGACAGCCAGTCCCCAGGAACAGTCACCACTAAACAGAAACTAACCCAAAGAAGCCCTAACAGTCACTGTCGCATTTACATGCTCAAGTAGTAACATTTTTTTTTTTTTTTACATACTTCTGTATTTTCCAACATTCCCATGTCCATAAAGGTAGACATTATTTGGGAAAACTGGGGTAGACGAAAACCACAAGACAAACAAATAGAAGCCCTAACACAAGGGACTGGGGAGACGGCTTCATTGATAGAGCTTGCTGGGCAGGCACGTCTTATTTTCAATGGAGGTGGAGATGGATAGGGAGCTGGATGCCAGTGGCACAGACTTGTAATGCCAGTGCTGGCAAGGGCAGCTAATGGCATTCTCTCTCCTGCTTGTTGGCCGGTGGCTTGCCTCAACTAATTAGGCAAGCTCAAGGCCCACAGGGGACTCGTGGTAAAGGCGCTTGCCACCAAGCCAGACTGACTTTGAGCCCCAAAGACCCACAAGGTAAGCAGCATCTCCCCAAAGTGGTCCTCTAATCCCCATGCACAGCACAGCTCGTGTGCCCCACCCCCCAAATAAACGTTAAATGAAAAGGGGGGCTTCCGGGGAACCCAAGGTTGATCTCCAGCCTCCACCACACACATATACAAACCCAGCTCCCAAGATCCCTGCCAGACAACTCTAACCTGTTTTCACACGATACTGGCCAGTTTCCTCGGGGAGCTTGGACCAAAAAGACAGAACGATCAGTGTGGGTTTGCACAGCCCAGCTTCCGAGGCCAGCCTCGCACTCGGGGCTTCCTGTGCATTAACTACAGTCTAGTGACAGCCATTCCCAAGTGTACGACCCCACACATCCTCCAGTGTCAATCTTACTCACTTGGGGCTCCACGAGGTGCTTTTTGGGAAGTCAGGGCTGCGGGGGAAACCGAAAAATAGTAGTGAAATTACAAAATTCCATCTCTATCTTCTGTCTCTCATGGTTCGAGGCCTCAGTCCCTGCCACAAGCAGCCAGCTCCTTCCTATAAGGGCCATAGGTGGGGACAGCCCAAAGCTTGCAGGCTCACAGAGGCCGGGAATTGGAATATTATAGTGGTCTCCATGACACCCATGTGCCAGACAGTTTTAAGCATTTTACGATCCATTTTTTCCCCGGTCAAAATATTCTACTAGAAAGTCTAACTTCTCTTTTGCGCAACAGCCAGTCTATGCAGAGGGATCAGCTGGAGTGGCAGAAACAGAGATGGCTGCAGGGGCAGGGGGGAGGGGGCTATAAGGGGAGAGGGGGCTGCAGGGGGAGGGGGAGCTGCAGGCGGGGAGGGGGCTGCAGGGGGAGGGGGAGGGGGCTATAAGGGGAGAGGGGGGCTGCAGGGGAGAGGGGGCTGCAGGGGGAGGGGGGCTGCAGGGGGAGGGGGCTGCAGGGGGAGGGGGAGCTGCAGGCGGGGAGGGGGCTGCAGGGGGAGGGGGGAGGGGGCTATAAGGGGAGAGGGGGCTGCAGGGGAGAGGGGGCTGCAGGGGAGGGGGGCTGCAGGGGGAGGGGGCTACAGGGGAGAGGGGGCTGCAGGGGAGAGGGGGCTGCAGGGGAGGGGGGCTGCAGGGGGAAGGGGCTGCAGGGGGAGGGGGGCTGCAGGCGGGGAGGGAGGCCGCAGGGGGAGGGGGGCTGCAGGGGGACAGGGCTGCCGTAGGGGAGGGGAGACACAGGAAGAGGGTAGCTATAGGGGTAGAGGGGCTGCAGGCAGGCAGAAGAGGCTGCAGGAGGGGAGGAGCTAGGGAGGGGGGCTGCGGGCGGGGAGAGGGAGCTGAGAACGGAGAGAGGGGCTACGGGGAGAAGAGGCTGTGGGCGGGGAGAGGGGGCTGCAGTCGGGGGGGGCTGCGGGCGGGGAGGGGACCTGCCGAAGCGGCCAGCACCCGGGCCCGCAGACCCGCGGACGCCCCCTCCCGTGGGATGCCGCTGCTCCTTACCTTTCAAACCTCGCTCCGTCCTCGCCTCCCCAAATGCAAGAACTGACGGTCTCAAAAGCACCTAGGGGGGCATTCTAGAGGCCCCTGGCTGAAACAACTGGAACCCGGGGACAGATGGCTAACAGGCCAACCCGAAGCTGACGAGTTCCCAGAATTCCGCTTAGAGAAAGTGCGGCGCCCGCTCGGTGGTAACGGAAGTGAGGATGCAGAATGCCCCAGAATGCTAGCGGAGGCCCGCCCTCTCGCATCGAATTTCCCTCTTGATTTTCATTTCTTGGACTCCCTAAGACAGCCCTGGGTAAAATGTCTTCACGTGACAGTACCTGTGCCCGTCGCCTTCTGGCCTCCTCGGGCAGGGCATGTACGCCATGCACAGACACAATGCAGGCAAAACATCGAATAAAATCTTTTTGAAAACTCGAAATATACAAGACAAAATAAAGCCTATTTATTTGTTGGTGAGTAACTGCGTATGTGTGGACATGATTATATATGGGGCCATGGGTTCAATCCATAGCAAGCACTCTGACCACCCCCACCCCGGATGGATGAATTGAAGAATTATACGAGTGAAAGCGGCTAGATGCGGCAGACCGCTCAGGATAGGGCTCCATTGATGACATTTTGGGAAACGAGAATACAGATAGAACAGAATCAGTGGTTATCAAGGGCAGAAGGAGGGAAGGGAATTCAGTGACAATTAATTCACTTGTTGAAACTTAAATGTCTTGGTGGGAGTTACCCCAAAGTAAACGTCTGGCAAATCTACAGTGACATAATCAAGTCAGCCTTACTGTATATAATTCCATCAAAATCATTTTATTGCTATTCCATATTTGCCTCCGACTTCACTGAGCACCTTTAAAAAAAAAAAGATTTATTTATTATGTGTACACTGTTCTGCCTGCATGTCAGAGGAGGGCACCAGATCTCTTTATAGATGGTTGTGAGCCACCATGTGGTTGCTGGGAATTGAACTCAGGACCTTTGGAAGAGCAGGCAGTGCTCTTAACCACTGAGCCATCTCTCCAGCCCTGAGCATTTTCTTTTATCCTGAATGAATGTTGAATTTTGTCTGATATTTTCTGAATAAATTGAGAGGTCCAGCTCCCCGCCCTCCTGTACTTATGCAATGCCTGACAATGGATGGAATATGTCTGCAGCTCAGAAACTGCAAAGCTTGCTGGTATTGAAGGTGGAGCTGACTGGAAACGGCCAGAAGGCATGTTTCTGTTTATTAGAAACATCATAGACAGCTGATGTTGATGACCGTAGACGTGTATACATTTGTCAAAATTCAGGAAGCAATAAAATTGAGGTCTGGGCGCATGTGTGACTACGTACAAATATACTTCAGTGCAGGACACGAATGCCAAAAAGCTGGTCACAACCCACTGATTTCTGAAGCCACCAATGAACAAAGACATTCGATTTTATAGACATTACTACACAGGCTCCAAAGGGTTGGGAAAATTGGCCTGTGCGTATAACTTGAGTCTCCTGCAAGCCTCCTGGGAATAATGTTTCAGAAACTTTATTCAGAGATAGATTGAATAAAAAATTTCAAATGACTGCTTTTCACAGTGCTGACATGAGTTACTGAAGGCATATGATGTCTCAGGCATTGCTTGGGTATATAGATAGATAGGTACATAACGTAGGTGTGTACCTCAAATGATCACTGTTACTAAGGAAGAAATGTATGTCAAAACAATTTCAGTAAGTGATACTTTATTAACGAAGAAACACATTTGCATAGTTGTGCTATGGAACACTCTCTGTACGAGGAGCTACGTGGACGTTGCAAATCACGCTGGCCGGGACACAATCTGCCGCTAAACTAGTCTGATACTTAAGTACGAGGGGTGAGACTAGGAAAATACAGTAAGCAAACTATTATGCAGAAATGTGTAAGAGCAGAAATGTGTGCTGCAATGCATAACAGAGAGCGTCGGCCCGCTGTTGTTCTCACTGTGTGTTCAGAGAAAGGCTACAGTAGAGTCGCACATCCCAGCTTGGGTATGAACTGCCAGAAGCCCTGTGGATTTATTACCTATGGAATTTTGAGTTTTTGGTTACTGAATATGTAGGAAGCTTGTGGTGTTTGTAAATATCTTATGACCACCACATTCGACCAGCAGCTTAAGAAACATTGCTCCGGTCAAACAGACCTGGTCCCTTCCATCCTAGGACGCTCAGATCCCTCCGGATCGCACTCAACTTTCCTGCGGTTAGTCTCAGCGTTTTAAAGATCACAGTTCTGAATGAAGTCTGCATGGCCCCAACTTAGAGACTTTGCTCTGTGGTCTCCCAATCGTTGTTAAAATACTGATCCTTTTAGGATACAACTCCTTTGTCTCCCATGATGGATGGCCCTAAGAACTGGAACGTTTTGGCTTCCATCTGAAATACCAGATCCTAAAACCTATAGTGCGTGTTTCCTGGGCGAGTCCTCGGGTGCAGGGAAATCCCTGTGCCCCTCGTTGTCAGCGTGGCCTCGCTGGTGAATCAGGAGGCTTGAGCTCCAGCTGAACCCTTTGCCACACGCCTCACACTTGTACGGTTTCTCTCCAGTGTGGGTCCTGTGGTGGTCACGGAGGTAGGACCTCTGCCGGAAGCGTTTGCCACACACATCGCACGGGTACGGTTTTTCTCCTGTGTGGACCCCGCGGTGAGCTAGAGAATTGGAGGCGCGGTAGAAGCCTCTCCCGCAGTCCTCACACTGGTAGGGTCTTTCTCCGGTGTGGGACCTCCGGTGGGCTTGAAGGTGTGACTCCACGGTGAATCCCTTCCCACACTCTGCACACTGAAACGGTTTCTCTTCACTGTGGACCCACTGATGCACTTGGAGAACCGAGACTCGACCGAAGGCTTTCCCACACTTCCGGCATTTGTAGGGCTTCTCTCCCGTGTGGATGCGACCGTGAACGTTAAGATCTGAACTCCAGCTGAAGCCCTTCCCACACGTGCTGCACCTGTAGGGCTTCTCGCCAGTGTGGCCTCTCTGATGGGCCAGAAGATGCGAGGCCTGGCTGAAGCCTTTGCCACACTCCCCACACGCGTAGGGCTTTTCTCCCGTGTGCACTCTTAGGTGGTTGTGAAATTCTGAGCTGCGACAGAAACTCTTCCAACAAGCATTGCACTGGTAGGGCTTGTTTCCAGCGTGGCCTCGCTGATGGTCCAGGAGCGTTGAGGCCCGAGTGAAGCCCTTTCCACATTCTTCACACTTGTATGGTTTCTCTCCAGTGTGCCTTACCTGATGAGCTTGGAGACCAGACAGCCGGCAGAAGGAGCTGCCGCATTTCCCACCTCCTCTCTCCTGCATGGGCCTGCCCCTTCACTGGAAGACCCGAGTCCCAGTTGGAGTCTTTCTCGCTCATCTCCTCTTGGTGAGGCTCGTCACCACCGTTCATTCCACAGTGGAGTTGAGGCCGTGAATTCTGCCCGGGATGTTTGCTGAACTCCGCTTCTTCGCACTGGACAGCATCCTGGTTCCCCAGTGCAGAGCCAGCTGCCCCGGTGTTCCCCGTGCCGTCTCCACCCTGGGTTAACTCCCTGGAAACTTGGTGCCAGATTCCTGAGCAGAAAAGCTCCTCGTGCGGCAGGTACCTCCATCCTACCTCCTGAAGCGACTCTGTCTCATCTAGATTCCTGGCTCCTGAAAGCACAGAGAGATTTCAGAGAGAGAAACAGGGTGTTTGAATGCTCTCTTGGCTGCTGTCGGAGTTACATGGAGAGCCTACTAAGGCTTCCCCGAACCAGAGAACGGTTCCCTTCCCTTTAACTCCATGCATTATGTCATCTCACCTCCACGCCCTAGAAGTCAGTGCAGCAGGCTCCCATTAACAACATAATAATAAAAAAACGGTCAAGAGTCCTGTAAAGCATCACAGGTGAGTGACAAGTTACAATTCCGTTATCTCTAGATCTCCATCAGAAAAAAACAAAGAACAAAACAAAACAACAACAACAAACAAACAAACGAAAAAACCCCACAGTTTTGGTTTTTTGTTTTTGTTGGCCAGGTGCACACCTTTAATCCTAGCATCTGCCCAGAGGTGGGCAGATCTTTGAGTTTGAGGCCAGCCTGGTCTATGGAGCCAGTTCCATAGTCTCAGCAAAAAAGAAGAGGGGATGAGGGACACAGAAGGTGGATAGCCAGTCTTGGAATCCCTACATTCCTGGATCATCACGCCCATCTTATTACAGAGATGGTCTTGCCTTGCAAAGGGAAGACCACAAAATCCTGTTGAATTTTTTTTTTTTTTTTTTTTTGAGACAGGGTCTTATGCATTCCAGGCTGGTCTTGAACTCATTGTATTAACAAGGATGACCTTGAGCTCGAGGTCTTCCTGCCTCTATCTCATAAGTGTTGGTTTATACCAAGACTCCACAGATTTTATTTGTCTGGTACTCGGGAGTGAACCCAGGGCTCTGTACATGCTAGGCAAGCCTTCTACCATTGAGCTATACTGTGAGCCTTTGTCATTTATTACAGAAGAAGCAATTAATATTCTAGAATCAACTCCAGAATATTTGTTACTATGAATTTGGCTGTATGTAGAATGTATAGTGGGTGCTTTGTATTCTCAAACGGCCCCAGAGGAAGGAAATTCCTTTTCTCTGGGACATCAGCATTACCAGCTGCAGCCTCCAGATCTCAGGTTAAACAGCCCCGGTTTCCCCCTTAGATATGAGGCTGAGAAGTCCTTTAATCAGTTAACAGCATGTTCTTCAAGTCATGCCCCCCCAGACTTAAGTGTTTTTAAATAGAAAGACTAAACAATAATAGTCAATGATATTCATCCCTGAGCCTTTTAGGAAGGGGTAGATGGCCATGAAGCAAGGATGGTCTTGAAAGCCACGTGTTTCTGCTACTATCTCTAAAGCTGCTTCCATCTTCACATGAAAGGCAAAGGTCACTTCTACCATTGTGACTAAGGAGCAGCCTTTTAAAACCCTGGGATGCCGCTCGGTGGTGGCAGCCTTGTCCAGCACAGGCCCAGGTCCACCCTCAGTGCTGCTACAATGAAACAGAAAGCACCTCCATACCCACTGAGTGTGACTCACTACTAACGGCCACGGGAAAGCCACAGGGCAAGACATTCATTCTCCTTAAGGTGGCTGAAATCCTGACCCCAGGGAAATGGCATCAGGAGGCCATTAGGTCATGCCGTTGCTGGAGCCACGTGATGTGGGTAGGAACCAAACGTGGGCCCTCTGCAGGAGTAGCCAGTGCTCATCGTTTCTCCAGACCAGGTTTCGGTCATTTATAAGCCGCTTAGGCTGTAGGTTTATTATTGTTAGTGTTGTTGTTGTTTTGTTTTAGTATTTTTGTAATGCTGAGACCTAAACCCAGGGTTTATGCCTACAATGTTTTGTTATGGCAGCTGGAGGCTACAATGCTCAGACAATGAACATTAATAGCTATCTATCTATCTATCTATCTATCTATCTATCTATATGTCTGTCTGTCTATCTACCTATCTGCAAAGGCACCTAAAAAATTAGAATGAGACATCCAATCAAGTTGTCTTAACAATAAAATATTGAGGAAGGAAAACAAACAAACAAACAAACTATTCTAAGCCTGCTGCTGGTGGTATACAAATTTAATCCCCAGCACTCTGGAGGCAGAGGCATGGGATATCTGTGAGTCTGAGGCCATCCTGGTCACTCTGTAGAGTGACTTCTTGGACAGCCAAGGCTGTTACACAGAAAAAACCTGCTTGGAAAACCAAACCAAACCAAACAAAACAACAACAAAACTATTCTAGACTATGCTTTGATTATACATTTTTTAAGTTTACTAACCGTTATGTATCCCCCTGACTAACTGTAAGAAAATCCATGCAGCCAGTATTAACTCATTCATTCACTCAGCAGACATCTGCAGCACAGCTGCCTGCCACAGATCGGCTCTGGGCAGGGAGCAGTGGGAATGGACAGTTTCTTCTCTCCCGAGACCACACTGCAATTGGAGCACAGTGAGCTCCCATAGCAAACGCATGGCAGAGCTGCACTCCGTGACCAGTGGTTGGACAGAAACAAAACAGGGCCAGGGAGGGGAGAGGATGAAGGGGGCAGGCTCCTCGGGTGGTGTTAGGGCCCCGAAGAGACCAGCGTGACCCCAGGACAGGGTCTGGAGGACTTCAGGTTGAGAACACTCTTGACAGTCTGAGAGGGGGCCAGCGTGAGCGGGATTGGCAGGGTAGAAAGTCCCAGACCATGTTTACATAGGATGGGGATGGGGAGGAGGGAAGGACAGACACATGGGACACTGGAAGCCACTTAAACATCCAGACTTGATGCCCCCAGGTAATAAGTCACCCGGGCACAGTGGTCACAGGACGTGGCTCCAGTCCAAAGGAGTCCGTGGGAGCTGAGAAGTGAGGGTGAGGGGCAGCATGGCCGCACTAGAGAGATGCAAACTCCCACAAGCTCCCCTATGGCCTGGGCACAGGCTGACAGGGCACCAACACTGCACAGCGGTCTCAGAGCCTCGGGTCCCCTCCTGCAGAGTGTCCCCTCCCTCCCCCCTGTGGTCGTTGGCCATCTCCACAATTCAAAGCTCATGTTCTATCTAGAACTGGGTGGATGTGATAGTCTGAGGCTCTGTGGAGAGTTTTATTTCAAATGGTCTCTTGGGAGCTGGAGAGATGGCTCAGCAGTCATGAGCACTTACTGTTCTTGCAGAGGAGCCAAGTTCTGTTCCCAGCAGCCACACTGGCGCCTCCATGGATACACACAGAAACACACACAAATAGTAAGCCTTAGTAAGATAAAGTAAATTCATGAGCAACTCAGCAAGATGCTTCAGAGAAAAGTACTGGGGGCCAAGGTGGTTGATCTGAGTTCCGTTCCTGGGACCCACGTGGTGGTAGGAGAGAAGGAAGGCCCACGCATGTCCTCTGTTTGCATAAGCATGTTATAGCACATGTGTGATGCACACCTCCACACACTGCATACCTGCACAAAAACAGACACTACACACACCACATATGTCATACCACACACACACAACTACATACACTATGCACACACACACCACATATCTCATACCACACACACACATACACATAACTGCATACACTACACACGTACACACATGCACACACACACCACATATCTCATACCACACACACACACACACACCACACCACACATCTCACACACACATAACTACACACACACACCAGTGTATGTTTTCTAAACTTGTTTTTCTCTATTTTGTTTTTTGAGACAAGCGTTTCATTCTGCACCCCAAGCTAAGTCTCAAACTCATAGTGAGCCTTCCGCTTCTGCCCTGTTTTCCAATATTCTAGTTGTGTCATAACGAAAGAAACATGTTTTGTGTAAAAGACACAAAAGATGCAGATAGTAGCATAAATTATTAGAAAGGTTCCATTTTCGCCAGGATGGGTGGCACAGGCCTAACATCCCAGCATTTTGGGAGGCTACGGCAGGTGGGTTACAGGTTCAAAGCCTGCCTGGTAAAGTATGAGTGAAAGGCCAGTCTGGCTGTGTTAGGGAGCCCTTGCCCGGATAAATGTGAGATTTATCTTCATGGCAGAGTGCTTGCCTAGCATGTGCAAGACCCTGGATTCCGTCTCTAGCAACACACACACACACACACAACACACACCTGTTTTCCTCTTACAATCTCTCACACTGTTTTTGACAACAGACTAATTTTTGCTGCAAAGAGAAGTTACCGCCCAGGGCTGCTCTGCCCTGCTTTGAGACAGGGTCTCACTGTGTACCCAAGGCGGTCCTGGATCCCACTGTGTAGACCAGGCTGGCCTCAAACTCACAGAGATCTGTCTCCTCTGCCTCCCGAATGCTGGGATCAAAAGTGTGTGGCACCACGTTTGGCTTTTCCATCTTTTGTTTTGCTTTTGTTTTTTTTCAAGACAGGGTTTCTCTGTGTAAGAGCTGCCTGTCCTGGAACTCACTCTGTAGACCAGGCTGGCCTCGAACCCACAGAGATCCACTTGCCTTTGCCTCCCGAATGCTGGGACTAAAGGCGTGCACCACTACTGCCGGGCTCTACCCTAATTTTTATTTCATTAAAAACTGCTCATAAAGGGCCAGCAAGATGGCTTTGAGGGGAAAGACACTGCTGCCAAGCCTGAAGACCTGAGTTCAATCCCCGGGACTCCCACAGTTGTCCTCTGGCCTTCACATACATGTCATGACACATGTGCACCCACATACATACAAACACACATACACAAAGTAATTTTTTAAATTTAAGGTTTATTTATTTTGCGTGTGTGAGTCTTTTGCCTGCATGAATGTCTGTGTACTGAGTGCGTGTCTAGTGCCTGTAGGGGTGAGATGAGGGAGTCAGGTGATTGTGAGCGGCCATGTGGGTGCTGGGAACCAAACCCAGGTCCTTTGCAGGAGCAGCCAGTCCTCGTAACCCCAAGCCACGTCTCTAGCCCCACAAAGTAAAAAAAATTTTAATGTAAAACATTGTTCACAGATTAACTACATGTGTGGAAGGCACGAAAGCCCAGCATCATGATGTCCACCTGTGCACACACATTAGCAAGGGGAGAAACACTAGAGAAAACCAGCTCTATACCTCAGGACGACTCAAAATCATCAGGCCCCTTCAAGAGCTTGAGACCCCTTCAAGATCTGCAGGCCAGCCAGGGCCACAGAGCCCTCGTGGGAGCCACCGTCTGCTACACAACCATCCTCACCCACTGACAGCAGCGTCCTGAAGGTCTCCAGCATCACCTCACGGTACAGCTTCCTCTGCGCAGTGTCCAGCAGCCCCAGCTCCTCCTCGCTGAAGACCACGGCCACGTCCCCGAGTGTCACCGCCTCCTACAACACCAAACACACGCCCGTAAATCTTGCTACAAAGGGTAGCTGAGGCTGGGGTGTGGCATGGGCATGGAGTACCTGCCTGGCCTCCCAAAGCCATGGATCCCACCCACAGCACCGCAGATGCTGGGCGTGGGGTAGAATGCCCCCATCCCAATGGGAGGCTGAGTTCCAGGACAGGATAGAACCCTGTCTCAAAAACATAAAGCAAACAAAAAGGCCACTTTCTGCATAGAGTTCAACTGTCCATTTTCTTATACGTTAAAACTGCCACCGAGCCTGGAAAACTGAGTTCCATCTCCAGGACCCACAGGGTGGAAGGAGAGAGCCACAAGTTGTCCCCTGCCCTCCACGGGCACGCCACACTGGCACGGGTGCACCTGCATACAGCCACACCCACACAACAAATAAATCAATGGATGTAAGGGGGTGGGGGAGACAACAAGAACAACCAGAACAGTCAGTCCAACTCACCCTGAACTCGGTCATTCTGTTCTCCGGGTCTTCGTCTTAGGAGGATGCAATGGTGGGCTAGAAAAGAGCCATGAGCGGCGAGCCAGGGTGTGACTGGCTCCGGAGGCAGGGAGCTGTGGGTAGCAGTGTGCTCCCTCCTCGGGAGGCTGGTTCAGACAGACAGCAGCACCCTGCAGCTGAGAGCCCCTGGCTAGGAGAGATGGCCAGCTTTTCCAAGACACGAGGTTTCGCAAACTCACCAAGCTGACAGGAGGGTCATGGAAAACTTTCCCATGGAAACAGAGACAACTGAATGAAGCTCCTGCCTCCGGGAAATGCACGCAGCCACATTTTTTTTTTTAAATAATCAGCATAATTAAATGAACAGACTACAGGAATCATCTCTGCCGGGCAGAAACAAGAGCTTGCTATGGTGTCACACCTGCAAATTCTGGCACTCAGGAGAGACTGAGGCAGAAGGATTGCTATCAGTTCAAGGTGGGACCCTATCTCAAAAGTCACTACAAGAGCTAGAAACCTGCTATTGTTTGGCACGCCATGGGGGCCCTGAGTAGCTCCTGCATGCTAGCACACCCAGCTTCAGGAAGGTCCCTCCCAGGTACCTGCACATCAGCTGCTGTGTGACCTTGGTGCCAACGCCTAATGCCATGTGTGCAGCCTCAGCTGTAAAAGGGACAGAAATAGAAAGTCAGTCCTACCACTATGATGGGGAGTAAATAAACACATGCAGACAGCACCTCGATGAGGTACTGGTACCTGGTATTTTAGGGCATCCTTAGCAACAAGGATGGCGGCTGTTGCACCCATGAACACGTGAGGTCAGAGGCAGGTGGGGCCTTGGGACCAAGCTTCATCCTGCAGCCAGCATTCCAAGCCTTAATCTCTGGGAACTGAACACGGGTTGTCAGGCTTGGCAACAAGCACTTTTACCAGCTGCACCCTCCTGCAGATTAAGTTCAGGTCAGTATCACAAAGTCAGACCTGGGGCTCACCGGACCCCTTCATCTGTAAGTGCAGCCACCACGGCTCAGTCTCCGCTCTCTGCTCTTCACCCCTACTTGTCTTTCCCGGCCTGGGACAGATGACTGAGCCATGGCCTGGGCTGTACAAGTTCCAATCCAACCTCGAAGCCCAAATGTATGCACCCTATCTCAAACCCTTCACCGTTAAAATAAAAATATGCCAGGCGTGGTGACATACATCCTCGGTCCCATCACTCGGAAAGGAGAGGCCAGCCTGGCCAACATAGGGAGCTCCAGGACAGCCAGGCCTACATAGTGAGACTCCTCAAAACAACAGAAGCAGCCACGGAAGGAGTCATGACCTACCTACCACACCTTCCCCTCAGTGCATGCTGAGAGGTGAGGCTGTGGATGGAGAGAACATTGTGAAATACCAGGCAGTCATGCCGACAAGGCAGTTAAATAGTCCCTGCCTGCCTACAAGCTGAAGACAATCTTACACTCTCCTAAGGGACAATAGGAATGGTGTCCAGAGTTAACAAGTATTGATGGGGACAGAAAGGAGGTCCCAGAGCATCCCCTGCAGCTGAAGGAGGTCTGGGAATGCCCTCTGCAGCTAAAGGAGTCCCCCAGTGCCCAGCTGAAGGAGGTAAGGGGCACCCTCTGCAGCTGAAGGAGGTAAGGGCGCCCTCTGCAGCTGAAGGAGGTAAGGGGCGCCCTCTGCAGCTGAAGGAGGCAAGGGGCGCCCCCTGCAGCTGAAGGAGGTAAGGGGCGCCCCCTGCAGCTGAAGGAGGTAAGGGGCGCCCTCTGCAGCTGAAGGAGGTAAGGGGCGCCCCCTGCAGCTGAAGGAGGTAAGGGGCGCCCCCTGCAGCTGAAGGAGGTAAGGGCGCCCTCTGCTTCTGAAGGAGGTAAGGGCGCCCCCTGCAGCTGAAGGAGGTAAGGGCGCCCTCTGCAGCTGAAGGAGGTCCCCAAGCGCAACCTGCAGCCAAAGTTGCCCCCAATGAGAGACCTGACCCATGATAGAAATTAACACTCAAAAGAAGAGCTCAGGATCACATGGCACAAAAAGTTCAAGGCTTTCATTTCTCCACTAACAGAGAAGATTCAACAGTTAAAGGGACAGGCGACAGGCGGTGGCGACACAAAGCCTTTAATCCTAGCACCCAGGAGGCCGAGTTTGAAGCCAGCCTGGTCTGCTTAGCAAAATACAGGACGGCTGGGATTAAATAGAGGGACCCCGCCTCAAAAAATAAATTAAAAGGTTAAAGAAAGGGGGAACCCATGTGCTACCGGACCAGTGGGAAAAGCTTGTGTCACCAAACCTGGGACTCTTTCTGTGAGTTGTTTTCTGACCTCTGCACACACAAAGTGAGAGTACATTATAAAAATGATTAAAGGCAGGAAGTCCGCATATGCTTGCTAGGCAAGCATGAGAACCTGGATTTGGATTCCCAGTACTCATGTACTCATATACAAAGCCCAGCATGGCTCACACACCTGGGAATCCCGCACTGAGGAAGCAGAGGCGGGGGGGGGGGGTGTCACTAGTTTCCCCGGCCAGCTAGTCTGGAGTTCCATGAGGAAAAAAAAAAAGGTGGTGAGTGATGATGGGAAGACACTTGATGCTGACCTTTGGCCTCCCCACACATGCAACCATGAGCATGCATGTATCGTATCAGCACACGCAGTAACTAGCACACACAGATGACATACACACAAAGTCATGGAAAGAGAGAGACTAAAATGAAAAAAAAATTTTTAATGCTATGCCTTAGCTGGGCAGTGATGGTGCACACCTTTAATCCCAGCACTTGGGAGGCAGAGGCAGGAGGATCTCTGTGATTTCAGGCCAGTCTGGTCTACAGAGTGAGTTCCAGGACAGCCAGGGCTACATAGAGAAACCTGCCTAAAAGCAAACGGGCCAAATCACACTGGAAACACATGTAACTACCTCACCAAGAAACCCGAATGCAGCGGGCACCCTGCTTAGTCACCTGGTCACGTGTCAGGAGCCTTGTTCTGTGAAGGACTCCTGCCTTTGTTCTCAAGTCCAGTTCGGCTTATTCTGCCTGTGACAATCAGCTCAAGACGCGTCCCCGGGACCTGCGCATCACCTGTAGGCCTGTATCTCGTCCCCTACCCATCTCTTCCCTGCACCTGTATCAGCTCCCTGCCTGCGACTTCAGGGTCCTGTCTGAACGCTGGAGCATCTTTAACCTTCTTATCAGCAGCTCCGTGCGTGTACAGCTATGTAAGTAGCAACGCACGGTCTGAGATTCATCATTAGTTATTAAGATGGGAATAAAAGAACCCGTGATTAATGGTCAAGTGAAATCGAGATCCCCTGGTAGGTGGCAGCCAACGAAACTGACATACATAGCTTGTGACTTTCTCATTGTTCAATAAATTCCGACATCGTGGAAAGCCAGAGACGTGTCCGTCTACGCCTCTATGACAGCTCGCGACACACCTCCTCTGCCCATGCCGGTTGCCTGCAGTGGGAGTGAGTCCTAGAACCTTCAGGGCCCGGTGACACTAGCTGCACCAATTTCCCAAACACCCCTGTCAGCACGGCTCTCCCACCCCAACTCCAGACAACAGCAGTGAAGCAAGGTGTGACGGCTCACACCTGTCATCGCAGGACTCCAGAGGCTGAGGCAGGAGGATGACCGTGCGGTGATCTCTGCAGGATGGAGGGAGGCTCGCTGGCGGCCCTGCGCTGCGCTTGCGCCCGGCCAGCCTGGAGCCGATTCCCGAACGGCCACCCGCCGCCGCTGACCCTGCAAACCTCCGGATCCAGGGATCAGCCGAGGAAGGTGCGGGAGAGAGGAGACTCACGGGAGCATAAGGGGAAACGGATGCTAACTGAAAACACAGGGAGACACTTCCCAGAACGCTTTGCATCAACCCGCTCTGCAGAAGCACGGGGAGCGCTCGGAGAACTTGAACTACACTTCCCAGAATACAACGCGACCACCGGCCTCGGCAAAAGAGCTGCCAGTGTCAGAGAATCGGGACTACACTTCCCAAAAGCCTTCGCGTCAGCCAGCCGGCATATAAGCGGGCGGACACACCTGTGGAACCGCTGGACTATACACTTTGGTAGTGGGTGAGGAAGGTGGATCGAGGATTCGCTCTATGAGTGTAGCATTTCTACGGAGTGTGCCACTCAGTTATTTCCCTGTGCCTCCGAGAAATCCTTATTTGATCTGCGAGACGGGTCTGCACTGTGCAATCCAGCTGAACTCAGTGGTCCGACTGTCTCTAAGTGCTGGGCTAATTGGCGTGCACGACTCCAGGATGCTTCTGAAGGAGACGCGTCCGATACGACAATGGAGGAAAAGCAATCCTCGCCTCATAGGTGGTACTTTGGTCCTATCGTTGCCCTTATATACCTGAGTCCTAAGAAGAAATAGTCCCCAGACGGCATGTGCGAGTTTGATGCGGAAGCAAGCCAAAGAGGAGATAAATCTTCAAGGAACTGCCCGGGAATGCAATGTGATACTGTGGTACTAAAACGGATAAGGGATAAGCAAAGCCAGGCGACTGTGGCGCACATCTTTAATCCCAGCACTCGGGAGGCAGAGGCAGGCGGATCTCTGTGAGTTCAAAGCCAGCCTGGTCTACAAAGTGAGTTCCAGGATAGGCTCCAAAGCCACAGAGAAACCCTGTCTCGAAAACAAAACCAAACAACAAACAAACAGAAAGAATGTTCGTAAATATAAACCTAATTTATACATCCTGCAGGAACGGGAGAATTTTTATTTTGAAGGATTCTTATTTTTTTTTTTTTAATTGTCCAGATCTTTTACCTACATGTATTGGAATCTCAGTCTTTCCCCCTCAACACTTAAGTATTATATATTCCTAAAATTATTTTCTTTTTTTCTTTTGACTTTTATTTTTTACAATGAAAAAAATGTTTAAAAAAACTTTTAGGCCACACACACACACACACACACACACACACACACACACACACACACACACACGCCAAGCCCTAGTTAGAAATTCCAGGCTGGTCACTGGAATTCGAAGCTAGCCTGTCATATA